CCCTGAACAAGCTGAAGCCCTATTTGTGGGGACAACAGTTCACCATCCTGTCGGACGATGCCCCACTGCAGTGGTTGCAGACCATGCAGAACACCAATGCCAAACTGCAGCGATGGGCCTGGCAGCTGCAGGAATTTAATTTTACTGTCTAGCACATCAATGGAAGCCAGAATGTGATAGCAGATGCCTTGTCACAGAAGGCCTCTGGGTAGTGGGTCCTCGGGACTCGGGTCTAGTGAGGGGATCACTAGTGTAAGACTGCAATCAGGTTTTATGGTTTCTGTCTGTTATTGTCATAACTCGTGTCATGTTCCAGGTTTTTTGTTTTTTTTTTTCTTCTTCTGGCATCCCGTGGGATCTCCCTGACCCGACACGCCCAAACCCACGGCCCTGAGAGGCCCCGTGTCCAAGCTTATAAAGGAGGGGGGGGGAAGTGTGGCAGGAATGCCACCGTCTGTGTCCCTCTCCAGAGACCTGTCTCTGCCAGCCCGAGAGGCTGGTGTTGAATCCCCCAGGGCAGGGATCTCCCTCCCTGTCTGCATAACAAAAGCCTGCGGCCTGGGAGAAGGATACTCTGGTCACCTGGGCAGGGAGAAAAGCCCGGCCCTGTGCACGGGCCTACATAGCCAGGGATGCTTGGTAGATTGGTTGGCTTGTGGCCAGTATTGGCAGCTTCGATTGGACCGGGCTGCAAAATCAGAGAGGGGATAAAAAGGCCCGGGCCAGGAAGAAGGCAGCCATTAGCCATGCGGTCATCCAGGTGAATCTGAAACTGGCTTTCTCCTCATCACCGCATGTTCCAAGAGTGCCCTGCCTCCAGAGGAAACAACAACCACCTCTGGACGATGCGTGTGAGTAACCTACTAGAGATCAGGTGAGATATTTAGCTTCAGTAACTCAGATGCGTGTTTAAACGGCTACCTCAGCCACCCTGGTTTGCTCTATGGGATTCCTCTGATATTTCTATGATATTGCTCTACCTTTTACCCTGTTTCCGCCCTACCCCCTGTAATCAATAAAGTTCTCCTTTGTGACCGGTGTGGAAGACTGATTGAGGGGTGGGTCTAAATTATGCCTAGGAGGCCCCTTAGGTATGCGGACTAAGGGAGACTTTCCTAATAAGCCCCTGACTTGGGGAAGTGCCCCAAGCACTTGTATTGGGTCTAGGACCCATTGGACGATCAGGCCTGTGTTCTCCAAGGTGCGCAGAGCCAGAAGTGAGTCCAGAGCCTTGGATGGTGGCAGCGGGACCCCCAGGCTAGCGGGGGTGCTCCAGGGAAGGGGTCGGCCGGACGGGAGGCACCCCAGGGAGGCACTCGGGGCCTGGAAGGTGGTCGGGAACAGGGAGGTGGGCAGTTTAATGCAGGAGCGCCCCCTACTGGCCCACCACAGTCCTACGCCAGGCCCAGCAACCAACGAGTTAATTGGTGCCCCGCCACCAGGATGGGTGAGAGTATAACATGTGCTGACCTGCAGTTCTCCGAAGCCCCCATGGGATGGAGAATGACTCCCGAGGTGCAGGGGCAGGTAGCAGATAGCATCCCTTCACCACACAATTCTGCTCCAGCTCCACACCCTGACCAGTCCTTGTTTCTGCAGCACTACCAGCCCTGGACAAGGCCGGCAACACCTATAAGAACCTCCATCTGGACCCAGTGGGTGAGGGGTCCAGTGTGATGGCCAGAACCAGAGGGATTAATAAGCAATGAATATGTGCTTCTTGGAGGCAGCACCGGGACTTGTCCATATTGAAATGCATCCTGTTTTTGTTAGCCCACCCCTGCAACCTATCCAGGTCTTTCTTCAGTCTTTCCCTCCCTACTAGCATGCCCACCTCACCCCTAATTTTCGTATCATCAGCAAATTTGAACAGGTTGCTTTTCACCCCGTCGTCCAAATTGCTGATAAAGAAATTGAACAGTGCGGGCCCAAGGACCGAGCCCTGGGGGACTCCGCTGCCCACTTCCCCCCAGGTCGAATATGACCCATCCACCACCACCCTCTGAGTATGACTCTTCAGCCAATGAGCAATCCACCTGTCTGTGTAGGCGTAGATGCCACAGTCGCCTATTTTTTTAATGAGGATGGGGTGGGAGACAGTGTCAAAGGCCTTGCTGAAGTCCAGAAAGATTACATCCACGGCGACACTGCACCCAATGCTTTTGTGACCTGATCGTAAAAGGCAACCAGGTTGGTCTGACATGACCTGCCCCTAATGAAACTGTGCTGGTTGCCCTTGAGCATCATCCCTGATGCCGGCCCATCACAGATGTGCTGCTTGATGATCTTTTCAAAGATTGAGGTAAGACTGACGGGCCTATCGTTGCCCGTGGCTCTGCTTGCTGTGCTCAGGCTGCAAGGCAGAGTGTGTTTGGCTGTCCCAGGCTCTGGGGCTTTTCTGGGCACCATGTACAACAGGAAGGAGTGTTCCCCCCTCTGCAGTTGCTGCAGGCATCAAGGTTTCCTTTGCCGCCCTCAGGGGCACTGGGTGCCAGCTGCAGAAGGGTGCTGGGCTCTGTGGGTGTGAGCACAGGCAATGTCATTCAGACACATTCACACACCTGTACATAGACAGCAGCTTCCTGTGGCCAATGCTGCCACCTTCTCTGCAGCCCAGGCTGGAACTGGGGCTGTGCCCATGCTCCTGCTGGGATGAGCTCCACAGGGTACTGGGTAGAGGGTGTTAGCGTAGTGCTCAGTCTCAGCCCAGGGCTGCAGTGGGGGCAGGAAACATTGTTGGCAAAGACCTGGTACCATCATCACGTGTGCATGCTGGAGAAAGAGCTCAGGGAGTAGGGCAGGGTCTCAGACTACTTGGGCATGGGTGACCAAAGAAAGGAGAGGACTACATACACATTTCCAAGCACAACCTGTAATTGGCAAGAGATCGGACTAGGCTGAATGCACGAGAAGCGTGCTCTACATGGTGGGCATGCTATACTTGGGGGGCATGCTATACGTGACTACGGTCAAGGCACCCAAGGGATAGGAAGAGGTGTAGCTTCGCTTATGAAAGCCCAGGCAGAGATGAAGCCTGTGGGATCTCCACTCCAACACCTAAGATGAATTGTGGATCCCCCAGAACTGGGAAGGCGGTGATAATTAGATATCAGAATACTTAGCTGTAAGGAGATGCTCTGTCCTTTGGATTATGTGAAGGTTTTCTGTTGCCTTTTTGGTTTATTATATTGCATTATAAAGTAGAGAAGGGTGTGTCTGTCAGAGGTGTGTCTTGCTGGGCTGTGTCTTATCTTAGGTGAAGTTTTCTGTTGTTCTTTGTTGTATGCTTGAAGTTGAGAATTGTTGGGCTCAATAAACACTCCCTCCAGAGAACAGACTATTCTTGTTCAAGCATCGATGCATTCAGTGCCACTGCCAAAAGTCTAATATTAAACCTGGTATCACCAGTAGCCGTAGCCGAGGCCAGAAGAGGCCAAGGTCAGAAGGTGAAGCCAGAGACGAGCAGAGCGGAGGGTAACCAGGATCAGAAGCCAGAACTCAGAGCTGAGCTAAAACTGGATTCACGTGGAGATGCTGAGGTCTCCCCAGAGCTGGAGCCACAAGTCACAACACATCAGCATGGAGATGCACGGACAGTTGGGACATGACCTTGGAGGGGAGAAGGGTTCGTAAGCTGGAACTGGGTCTGAGAGTTGGAGCAGGCTGGACCTGCTGCCTCTGGGGCCAGGCTGCCCTGATGGCCTCCCTCAGCCCAGCTGGGCCCAAGCGGGAGGCAGTGGTGGGGCGTGTGCTTGTTCCTGGGTGACTCGCCCTGATGGCTCTGGTGAGACCAGCTGGGCCCAGGGTTGTGGCCCAGGTGGGACCAGCAGGGTGAGCCCCCTTAGCCAGAGGGTGTGAGCCAGGTGTCTTTGCATCTGGTTGTAGCTGTGCGCAGTGCATGCATCTCCAAGCTGTGTGAAAAGGTCATGCGGGACCTGGCCAAAGCCTGGCTGCAGCCAAGACACATGATGCCACAACAGCCTTTCGTCCCCCAGCAGTTCCCCAGGCCATGGAAGAGATTGAGCTTGTTGCACACGATTTTTTTCGCGTGAACTCACATGGCTGCTTGTGCTCAGCCTTTCCTCTTCCACACACTTGCACAGGCCCTTCCTGAGTCTCTGCTCCAGTGACTTCCCAGGGACAGAGATGACGGGAACCGGGATGTAGCGCCCTGGGTCCTGTTTGTCCTTTCCAGTGAGACGCACTGCACTGGCTCTTCTCCAGGCCCTTACACCTCACCCGTCTCCCACAACCAGGTCAATATTGTTCCCACGTGTCAGTTCCTCCAGTCCCGTTGGGGGAAGCCCCTGAGGCACTGTGGAACTGGGTGCATTCAGACCCATGCGACTGCCTAGGAAAGGGCTTGGGATGAGCTCTGGGGTGGACAACCCATCTAGCTAGGAGAGCGGGGAGAGCAGCTGTGAGTGCCTTCCTCCAGGCTGGAGAAGAAGCAGTGTCAGGGTCAGCTCAGCACCTGGTAAGGCTGAGAGCAGATAAGCAGCAGGCTTTGGGGGAACTCGTTCCCTTCCTGTGCCGGGAAACCTCATTCATTTTTTCTACCATTGCAGCAACAGCGATGCTCCAGCCCTGCCGCAGGAACTGTGATGGTCTCTAGTGTATTCATGCACAGACCCGTGCCCTGCATACAGAACAGTGTAGATAGTGGAGGGGTCTGTGTGGGGGAGGCACCTATGGGTGGACGGGTCTCTGTGTCCAGTCACCAGTGAGCATTGATGGGGCAGATCCTACATTTGGAAGGGTGCTTTTCCCTCCGTATTGTTTAGTAATGGGCCCCAGAGAACAACACACGGCCCAGGAGACCCTGTCATTGTAGCTCATGCCCTGGTGACCCAGGTTATTTCTGGGCCTGGGGCAGTCAGGGGCTGCTGGGCCAGGTCTGGGCTTACTCCACATGGCCTCTCAGATGCTCTTTCCCCGCAAGACCTCCTCTGCCAGGGGCCCTTCCTAGGGAGGGCAGGGCTGTGGCTGCTGGGCCCAATGGCAGGGCCATGGTTCCACATCCGGCCCTGCTTGGCCACCCCCACCTGTGGTCGAGGCCACTTCTGCTTCTGGCTCATTCGTCCCTCCTGCTGGGACGTGCTGCACTTGTGCTAGCAGCTGCAGAGCCACCGTGGGAAGCACTGCCGGGATGGGCGAGAGCGTCACATATGCTGAGCTGCGGTTCTCCAAGGCCCCCTCGGGACGAAGTGTGACCCCCCAGGCACAAGGGGAAGGTAGGAGCGAGCACCCCTCTGCCATCCAGCCCTGCCCCTGCCCAACCCCCTGACCAGCCCCTGTGTCTGCAGCCCTACAAGCACCAGGAAAGGCCGATGACACCCACGAGACCTTCCAGCTGGGCCCAGTGGGTGAGGCACCATCAGGACATGGGGCCCAGCAGCATAGAGGTGAGTGTGAGGGAATCCCCTGCTCTGCCCACGGCTCCCCGGCAGGGATGTGGAGAGCTTCCAGAGGTGCACAGCTGGCTTGGGTGTGAAACAGGACTGCAGGGGGCTAAGGTGACAAGAGTTGACAGGTGATGGAGGGACTGTCCTGCCCCAGGGCTAAAGGGTGGCTCTGGTTGCTGTGCCCAGGCTGCAGGGCAGATGGCAGTGCGTGGCTGCCCCAGGCTCCTGGGCTTTGCTGGAGGTCACATGGGCCGGGAAGGAGTTTTCCCCCTGACCAGTTTCTGCTGGCATCAGGGTTTCCTTTGCAGCCCTTGGAGATGCTGAGTGCTGGGTGCAGAGAGGTGCTGGGCGGTGGGTGTGAGTGCAGGCACAGCTGGACGCACACTGCACACTCACCCGTTCAGACACGCTCACACAGTCATTCATAGACAGCAGCTTCCTGTAGATTCATGGATTCATAGATGTTAGGGTCAGAAGGGACCTCAATAGATCATCGAGTCCGACCCCCTGCATAGGCAGGAAAGAGGGCTGGGGCTAGATTACCCCAGCATGACCCCAGCTAGATGGTTATCTAACCTCCCTCCTCTTGAAGACCCCAGGGTAGGGGAGAGCACCACCTCCCTTGGGAGCCCGTTCCAGACCTTGGCCACTCGAACTGTGAAGAAGTTCTTCCTTATGTCCAATCTAAATCTGCTCTCTGCTAGCTTGTGGCCATTATTTCTTGTAACCCCCGGGGTTACAAGAAATAACACCTCTGTGTCTGATGCTGCCACCTTCCCTGAAGCCCAGGCTGGGGCTGAGGATTGGGCTGTGCCATTGCTTCTGCTGGGATTGGAGGGACTCCAGGCCTCCTGCCCTCTCCCTGCTATGGGGCTTTGGGGGATGCAGGTGCCGTGGGCTGGTCCCAAGATGCTACATCTCCTGCAGAGCCCCGGTGGAGCATACATCCCCTGCCCCTGGTCCTGCTGGCAGCCTGCCTGGCCCTTCTGGCCACCACCATCACCCTGGGGGTATTCTGTGAGTAGGACCACATGGAGGTGGCAGGGACTCGGGCGGGCAGGGGAAATGGGCAGGTGTAGGGGCAGCATGGAAGACACTGGGACAGTGTTGCCCTGCGTCCGTGTCCATGTCTGTGCCCTGGTGCTGCTGCTGACAGCCCCTTACCCATAGACTGGCAGGTGGGCAATGAGCTGGAGCAGGCCCAGGCAGAGCTGATGAACCGCAGCCAGGCCGAGCTCCAGAATATTACGCGGGAGCTAGAACATGCACAGCAGCTGGCCCAGAAACTGCAGCAACAGCTGGACAGAGCCCAGGCCACTGTGCAGTCCTGCCAGCTCACAGGTAGCTCTTTGAGGGGCAGGGTGGTGGTGGATATGGCTCATGACCCCATGAGCAGGGCAGAGAATAGAGGGCAGTGCCCAGCCCCATGCACTAGCCTGGTGTGATGGAGGGGTCAAGCCCCCGTGTGTCGGGAGTATGGAGGAGGCAGCGGGGATAGGGGGGGCGGTCAGGCGCAGATCTGGGGAAGTACCAACTCAAGCCCTGCTGCAGTTGGGGCCAGCCCAGCCTACTGATGTGACGGGTGTGCTGGGCTGGAAGGTGCTGGGGGCATCGGGGAGGGAGGGAGCTCCCAGGATTGCACTGGGCCAGGATCAGAGTGGGGCCTGTCGTTCTCCTGCACCCAGGACCATCTCACCCACTGCAGAGCATAGCCTAGGCCCCCTTGGGAGGGAGGAGGACCTGAGAGCCAGGGCACAGACTGGGGGAAGAGGTGTGAGTGTCTACCTGTGCCCAGACTGCTGCCCGGAGACCTGGATGCTGCATGGTGGGAAGTGCCTGTTCCTCTCCAAGGAGGAGACGACCTGGGAGCAAAGCAAACAAGAGTGTGAAGTAAAATCCTCCCGGCTCCTCGTCCTCCAGGACTGGGACCACGGGACCATGCCGGTACAGCTGGGCCTGGAGGGGCAGAAGGAAAGTGTTGCCTGGCAGGAGCAGGATGGGAAGGGCAGGGAACAGGGAGGAGACACAGCGAGGGTCATGTCAGGGCTGGTGCTGGGGGAGCCAGTGACCCCATCGCGGGGAGGGGGAGAGGGGCTGGGCAGGGCCTGGCAGGTGGAGGCAGCGCCGAGGGGGCACCTGGGGCAACTGAAGGGAAGAAACAGGCTGGAGGGGAGGACGGATGTCTGGAAACCCCCAGCCAGCACGGAGGCCTCGGAGGCTGGAGCAGCTGACAGCCCTTCTCCTGCCCCTTCTCTGTCCTGAGGGCCGGCCCCAGCACCCGGGGCTCCTCTGCAAGTTCTTCCCGGGCATCAGGGTCTCCCTGCCCTGGGCATATTTCACGGCCATTGTCACCTCCCCAGAGCTTTCTTGCCCACACGGACACCCCGTACTGGATCGGACTCAGATTCATATGGGATTACAAGTCAGGCTCAAATCAGTGGCAGTGGGAGGACAGCACCCTGTACAACCCGTAAGTTGGCACCGAGCTCCTTGCCTAGAAACTCTGTGCACCCTCTTCCCGAGCACCAGCACTGGGGTGCGGGGAGCTCCCTGTCAGCCCACCGCAGCACGGGCTGTGACGGGCGCTCTGGCTGGGCCCTGGTACAAGGCCAGGCTGGCCGTGGGCTCCCAGCCGGGGAGGAGCGGGCGCTGAGGCTGCAGCCCTGTGGGGCAGGGCCCTGAGGGGGTGGGATGACCTGGGCTCCTGACAGCCTCTGTCATTGCAGGCCTGGGAGTAGGACAAGTGATGGTGTTTTTGGAACAATAAGAAGGGGCAGAATAGAGAGAAGAGACTGGCCCTATGAGAAACACCGCAGGGTCTGCGAGAGGCCGGCCGGCCGCCCCCAGGGATCCACAGGGACTGACCCCAGGGCATGAAGGCACGAGGGTCCCATGACTACAAGAGCAAGTGTCCACAGCATCGCAGCACCAGGGACTCATGTCCCCTTCCCCACTTGTCAGCTGGGTCCTGCACCCCCCACACACGAGGTGGGACTGGCTCTGGCTGCCCCCTCACCCTGCCTCTCCGCTTCAGCTCGTGGCTCCAGGGACCAGCTGCCCCCTGCACCAGCCTGATCCCCTCGCAGCGCCAAGGACTCAGCATCGCCTGCTCTGGGAAACGGTCCAGCAGACAGGGCCCAGCAAAGGCATTAGCGGATGTTCCCAGGACCCCGGATCAATGCCAGAGCTCGGCTGCCAGACCCTGCAGGCCTGATCCAGTCAGACACGGCAGCATCTCTGACCTGCCCCCAGCACACGTGGGGGTGGCGGGGGCTAAGGGTCCCCCTCCTTTCCCAGCAGTGAGTTCAGCAGAGCGGCGATGTGGTGCTGGCAGACGTCTGCTCACGGCCACCTGTCCAAGTGGGCTCCAGCTCTGTGGGTCTCAGCTCCTGCCCTCCTTCCTGTCTGCTCCAGAGGGCCTGGCCATTTTACTGGCCTCTGGTGTTTATAGGCCGGAAGCTGCGCTGGGCCCCATAGGCTGCATACATGATGCCCATGCATGGGCCCTGGCAGCAGGGCAGGAGGGGAACCTCCCACCCCACCAGGGCTTGCACCTGCCTCCCGCTGCCTTGTGCACCAGGCAAAAATGCACCAACCCCACCGTCCCCTGGCTGCAGCCCCCTCCCCACAGCAGCCCACACTGATGCAGGACCAGCAGGCAGAACCCCATTCCCTGATCCCAGTCACTGTCCTGCTCCCCTGTGCCCACCCAGGGCAGGAGGGGACCCTGGGGCCAGGTCGGGGGTCCCAGCAGCCCTGGGGTCACTTTCCTGGCGACTGTGGCGCCAGTTGCTGGGACAAGCATTGCCACTGGGGACCCATGCAGACCAAGGAGCCAGCCCTGCACTGGAGGCCCATGGGTGCCCACATCATGTCCCACAGAGCTTCATACTGGGGACCTCCTCATGCCCGGGGGCACAGGGGACGTGGGATGCAGCATGGTACAGGCAGGTGTATTGAACGCTGTAAATAAGCTGGGATATATATTGCTGCCATTCATGCCCCTCACGATCATCTTCATATTATTAAACTGCTGAGATTGCATTTACCAGTGCCATGTGCGGGGAAGTGAGCACTAGGGCAGTGTCATTTCTGGCCTTCCTATTGCACACAGGTCTGCCCCAATAGCTGCTCCATCACTGGGACCCCCACACCACTAATCCCCCTGCCCTGTGCCAGGGGCTGTACGCACTGCTCTCACTACCCTTGGGAGACCAGGCAGAGGAAGCAACATGCAGGCCACAGGCCCCTTGTCTGTGCACATCCGTCCTACAGCTGCAGGGGAAGGGGGACAAGTCACGTGAAACCAGCTCCTCCACAACACCCTCCCTGCTCCCAGCTCTAGCAACTGGCCAGATCCAGGGCCCTGGTGCTGGCTTCCAGCTGGTGAGAGGTGGGCTGCAGTGTCCCTAGGAAGTGGCACAGCTCAGTTGTTGTACCCAGTTCTTGGACTTGGGGGAGGCAGGTGGCGAGTGGTATGTGTGGGTGACATCACAGGGGCGAAGAAGTCAGCATGTGCCTCCACTGTGGGCTTGGGCATCATGGGGCTCCTTGGCGGGAAGTTGGCGTGGGGCAGTAAGGTCGAAGGACAGGGACGTGACCCACTTGCTGAGTGTATTCAACATCTTGGTCTTGCTGCCCTTGAAGTCCTGGCACTGGGAGAAACAATTGAGGTGGGGTGGCATCTCCCTGGTCCAGGCACATACTTTGGCCTCCGGGGGCTGCTGTGGGCTGGGGGAGCATGTTGGAAATGTGTCCGACGGGCTGCGGGACAGGTGCTGGTCTTCTCCAACTGAGGCATCTGAAGCTGCACTCGCCTTTTTGTGAGGTGCGTCGCGCTGCAGAATTGTCCCAATTTTCGCAACTCCCAGGTCCATGTCTACGGTGCTGCCATCCCACCAGGGACTCCCAGACTCTTCCTGCACTTTGGATCTCTCCTCCCTGGGAAGAAACTTGCACTGGTCTGCACTGCCCTGCCCTACACTGCCTCCTGCCCAGCTATCCAGCTGACAGGGTCTTTCCAGACTCTACTCCCCTCCACCAGCCTGGTGACAGTCCTGCCCCATTTCACATCCCCTGCAGCCTGGCTCCAGCAGCTCTGTGCCCACATCCAGGTCCTTAATAAACATTGTGCCCAGACTCAGACCCAGAACAGAGATCTTTGCGACTATGCTGGAAACTGCCTGCTATTCAGACACGGATCTGTTCATAATGACCTGTCTGCAACTGGGACAGGCATGGTACTGCCTAGTGGGAAGACGCTGTGGGTGCGGGTGCAGGTGCAGCCCAAGGGAGTTTCCAAGAGAATAGGAGGGCACCCAGAGGGGTTTGGCATCCAGCCTGGATCCAGGAGCTGTAGCCAAGGCCAGGACAAGCTGGGGCAGAAGCTGGAGACAGGGTTGAGGGGTGCTGGTTGGGAAGCGGGATCAGAAGCCAAATGACAGAGCAGGTCAAACTGGAGTCTGGGGATACTGAGGTCTCCTTAATGCTGGAACCAGGCATCTCAGCAGATCAGCACGGAGACATGCAGGTGGTCAGGTCAAGAACCTTCCCCTTGGTGTGGACCTGGGGTCCGTGACGGGGCCTGGGGCTGAGGCCTGGGGCAGGCTGGACCTGCTGCCTCTGGGGCAATCTGTTTGTCATAAACTGACTAGGCTGCTTGTGCTCATCTTTTCCTCCTCCACACACTTGCACAGGCCCTTCCTGAGCGCCTGCTCCAGTGACTTCCCAGGTGCAAAAGGGAAAGAAACCAGGCTGCCGCTCTCCAGGGTCCCCTGCTTGTCCTTTCCCCAGAGGGGCACAGTGCTGGCCCGTTTCTAGACCTCTGCACCCATCTGTGCCCCAAGACCTGGTCCTGATTGTTCCCAGGGGCCAGATACATCAGTCTCATGGGGAGAAGCTCCGGAGGCTCTGCAGAGCTGGATGCATTCAGACACATCCGGCTGCCTAGGAAAGGGCTTGGCATGAGCTGTGGGGCTGGACGACCCCTTTAGCTGGGAGTGAGGGGACAGGAGCGATGGTGCACAGGGTGCAGCACATAAGATGCAACAGCAGGAGAAGAAGCAGCAGCAGTTTCAGCACAGCAACCAATAAGGCAGAGAGCAGAAAAGCCGTAGTCTGTGGGGGATCTTGTGTTTTTCCTGTTCCAGGAAATCTCATGCATTTCTTCGACCATTGCGGTGAAGGTGATGCTCCAGCCCTCCTGCCGGAACTGTGATGGTCTCTAGTGCCTTTGTGCACAGACCTGTGCCCTGCATACAGAAGGGTGTCGATGGTGTAGGGGTCTGTGTGGGGGAGCTGCCCCATGCCCAGGCACCTGTGAGTGGTGATGAGTCAGATCCTGCACTTGGGAGGGTCCTTTTCCCTTGCCATAGTTCAGCAATGGACCCAGAGCCCAGACACAGCCCAGGAGACCCCGTCACTGCCGCCTGTCCCCTGATGACACAGGATATGCCTGGGCTTGGGGCACACAGGGGCTGCTGAGCTGGGCCTGGGCTTACTCTGCATGGCTTCCTGGATGCTCTTGGCCCCCCACAACTCCTCTACCAGCCCTTCGCCCTGCGGTCCTTCCTGTGGAGGGCTGAGCCTGTGGCTGCTGGCGCCACAGGGACATGGCCCCACGTCCAGCTGGCCTCCCCAACCTGTGGTCGAGGCTGTTGATTCCCCCATGCTGGGATACTCTGCCCTCGCCTCAGCAACCCAGGAGCCACCGTGTGAAACACTGCCAGGACGGGCGCGAGTGCCACATCCGCTGAGCTGCAGTTCTCCACTGACCCCCAGGATGAAGTGTGACATGCGTGCCACAAGAGAACTTCTCTTGGGTAGAGTGAGCCCTTCCAAAAGCTACAATATGATGACTTGCACCACTTCCCAACCTGATCCTGCCCCATCTCCAGCTGTGGTCTGACCAGTGCCGCGTAGAGAGGGAGAATCACTTCCCTAGACCTAGTTGTGAAACCTACGGATGCACGACAAGGTGTGATTGGCTCTGCCGACTTCTTCATCACCTTGATGACTCATGTTCATCCTGGAGTGAACAGTGACTCCAAGATCTCTTTGTGCCTCAGTGGAGCTGAGAAGGTCGCCCCCAGCCTGTAGGAATGATGGAAGTTCTTTCTCCCTAGGTGCAGCACCTTGCACTTGTCCTTATTGAATTGAATCCTGTTAGTCACTGCCTACGTCACCAACCCGTCTAGGTCAGCCTGCATCTGGTTCCTCCTCTCCAGGGTCTTTGCTTCACCCCATATTTTTTTGTCATCTGCAAATCTGTACAGGGTGCTTCCCATGCCCTCATCCAGATGACTGATGAAGATGTTGAACAGCACTGGCCCCGGAACTGAGCCCTGGGGGACTCCACTGCACACATCTTTCCAGGTTGACACCGATCCATCCATCACCACTCTCTGAGTGCAACCCTTGAGCCAGTTTGCTACCCAGTCTACCGTGTAATCATCCAAAGCAAATCCTCTCAATTTATTTGTAAGGATGGTATGGGATACCATGTCAGAGGCCTTCTTGAAGTCCAGAGAGATAACATCCACCTCGACTCCTGCATCTAAACATTTGGTGGCCTTGTTGTAAAAAGAAACTAGGTTAGTCAGGCAGGACCTGCCTGCTATAAACCCATGTTGGTTGCCCTTCCACATCACATTAGCCAGCGGGTTCCCACAAATGTGCTCCTTGATATTTTGTCTAGGATTTTACCAGGGATAGAGGTAAGGCTGACTGGTCTATAGTTTCCTGGGTCCTCCTTCCTCCCCTTCTTAATGATTGGGATGACATTAGCCCTCTTCCAATCCTCCAGAACCTGGCCTGAGCACCATGAGTGCGCATATATCCTTGCCAGTGGATCAGGTATAACCCCTGCTAATTCTTTTCATTACCCGTGGGTGCAGTCCTTCCGGCCCTGGGGATTTGAATACGTTCGGTCCCTCCAAGTGTCTTTTTACTGTGTCGGCACTGAACATTGGTCGGCTGATGTTTCCCTTGTTGGTGCCTGTGGTGCATAATGAGGGTTTGTCCAGGTTCCTATTTAAGAAGACAGAGGCAAAAAACTGATTGAAGAGCTCTGCCTTGCCCCTGCTATCCGTCACTGACTGTCCTCCCCATCCTGTATGGGTCCTATGCTACTCTGCACCCTCTTTTTGCTCCCAACATACTTAAAGAAGGATTTTTATTGTCCTTAATCCCTGGTGTTAGCCTGAGTTCTAGAGCTGCCTTGGCCTTCCTGACTGACACCCTGCAGGCACGGGCCAAAGAAGTGTACTCCTCTCTTGCTAGTTACCCCCCGCCTCCACTTCCTGCGTGCTTCTTTCTTTGCCCTTCAGGTATCCTGGATGACTCTGGTTAGCAAAAGGGATTTCTTGGCCCCTTTGCTCCCTTTTCTCTGCCACTAGGATTGTGTCACTTTGAGCCCAAAGGATGGTTTCCTTGAGGAATGACCACCCATCCTGGACCCCGAGAACATCTAGGCTCTTGGTTCCTTGTACCCAGCTAACAGGTTCCTTGATCCTATTAAAGTCAGCTTTTTTAAAGTTTAACACCTGTGTCCCGCTGGGTATAATGCTCGCCCGTCTCTGGATAGTGAATTTTATCATTTTGTGATCACTGTCCCCTATATTGCCTTGAATCTGCAAGTCCCCCACCAGGTCATCCCCTGTGGCCAACACCAAGTCGAGCAAGGTGTTACCCCCGGTCGGACTCCTTACCTCCTGTGTTAGGTGGAGGTCCTGGATACTGGTTAAGAACCTGCGTGAGTGGTTAGATCTAGCTGGCTGCTCCTCCCAGCATATCTCTGGGTAATTGAGGTCCCCCTTGACTACCATGTCTCTACACCACACAGCCTCTGAGAGCTGCCTGGAAAATTCCCCATCTACCTCATCCTGCTGGTGCGGAGGCCTGTAGTAGACCCCCACCTCCAGGTCCCTTTTCCTCATACCCCCTTGGATCCTAACCCACAGAGTCTCTGCTTGTCCTTCCTCTGATCCCAGTTTAATTAGAGAAGATGTATTCTGTTCTTTGCCATAGAGAGCAACACCCCCTCCTTTTTTCCCTCCTCTATCTCTCCTGTACAACCTATAGCCCTTTATTCCTACTACCCAGTCATGAGTAGAGTCCCACCAGGTTTATGTTAGACCCACTAGGTCAAAGTAATTACTTGCAAGCAAGAGTTCTACTTCCTCCTGCTTGTTTCCCATGCTCCTGGCATTTGTGCATATACACTTAATTCCCCTGCTGGCTGCCCCTGGAACCCCCTTATACTGCTGTTTAATAGGTTCTTTGATACTTACCTGGGCTGATCTTGTGGGTATCCCATGGTTCAGTGTTCCGGGGATCCCTCTGTTCTTGTCCTCCCCTTCCCCCGATGAACATAGTTTAAAGCCCGCCGGAGGAGATCAGCCAACCTGAAAGAGAACAAATGCTTACCTTGGGGTGAGAGATGAAGCCCATCCCACCCTAGCATGTCTCTTGTTTGGAAGTATGGGTCGTGGTCCAGAAAGTTGAAGCCTGCCTTGTAACACCAGCTCCAAAGCCACGAGTTTCATAGATTCATATATTCATTCATAGATTCATAGATTGTAGAGTCAGAAGGGACCACAATGGATCATCGTGTCCGATCACCAGCCCTTGTCAGAAAAGAGGACCGAGGTCAGATGACCCCAGCCAGGTGACTATCTAGCGTGATCCCAGTCAACGGCCTTCTCCCATGTGCCCACCCAGGGCAGGAGGGGACCCTGGGGCTTGGTTGGGGGGTCCCAGCAGCCCTGGGGGCACTTTCCCTGTGACTATGGTGCCTGTTGCTGGGACGAGCATTGCCACTGGGGACCCGTGCACACCAAGGAGCCAGCCCTGCACTGCAGGCCCATGGGTGCCCCCATCCTGTCCCACAGAACTTTATACTGGGGACCTCCTCATGCCTGGGGGCACAGGGGACATGGGACGCAGCATGGTACAGGCAGGTGTATTGAACGCTGTAAATAAGCTGGGATATATATACTGCAGCCATTCATGCCACTCATGGTCGTCTTCATATTAAACCACTGAGATTACATTTACCAGTGCTGTGTGTGTGGGGACGTGAGCACTAGGGCCGTGTCATGTCTGGCCTCTCTATTGCACACAGGTCTGCCCCAA